AGTAGAATTAGACGTGTTGTAAGACGTATCATTCTGTTGAAAGGTATGCATCCAAATATATTACCACTTGTGCGTGCTTAGTAAAAGTATCAAAAAAATGATTTCGACCATTTCGACCATTTCAGATATCTGAAATGATCTATTTCGATTTCATGTATAATAATAACGCATTCAAATGGTCAATATTAAACGTATTAACCTTACTTATTTCGCAATTCTGCACTTCGATAATAAAGAAGTAATGCATATTACCATCAACTTGAAATTCTCTGATTTAGAAATTGAGCAGTTCACTGAATATGCTGCATACAAAGAAAATATGCAATTTCAACAACATATCTTGCATATTACTAATATCCACTTAAATATAAAACAGAATACCCTTAAATCCTTCTTCTCTAAATATCATTAGTATTAGAATGCCAACACAGGGTTTGTGGTAGCATGCCTATATCACTTATGAAAAGTCACAAGATATTGCATTGTTCTATGAACAATAATCTAGATATCTGTACAATGATTGTGTTAAAGTCTATCCTGCAAGTTTCACCCTTAAACAAGTAAAACTTAGAAATGATTTTCATATCAAACTGACCAATCTGCCTTTCAATACCTCCTCATGTGACCTTCATGATATCACTCTTATTACTAAAGCAAAGTCATATTACATTCCTAGATCTAACAATTATAAGCCTCACCCTTTTGCTACCTTCTATTTTCAATCTGAAGAAGAATTAAATAATGCAATCAAAACTCCCTATGCTCTTGACAATAATGAACTTCAATAGTGTTCTGTTGAAGCTAAATGCTACCACAAATGTAGATCTACTGAACAACTCATAATAAAATGTTCAATAATTGATCAACCAAATAAAGATGATAACTTTAATAATAGATGACCTAGAAATCAACTACTATCTATTTAAAAACTCTACAATAGATTTAAACTGGCTAGTCCTTATTCCTTAATTCACAAAAATACTAATAACTCACTGGTCGAAATCAAAAAAATCAGACATGTGATAAATCATCCATCAATCGTCCATCAATCGAACATAATCATCAATGGCCAAAAATCAACCTAAATCAACCTGTCTGATTTATGGACGATTTGTATATTTATAAAATCAGAAAGCAATTTTAATAGATTATTTTATGTTGAAAATAACAATTCAAAAGGATTTTTTAGACCAATAAAACTTTCAAAAATTATGTGAAAAATGACAATTCAGAAAGCAATTCAGAAGGAAATAAGATGTTATAATTTTATAATTGGTATATTTTATTAATCGGATTGATGGCCAAATATTCTTTTGCATTTTACCAAATTGAAATCATATATTTCACTGGTACAAAACGTCCTAAAATATGATGTACTGGTATTATGCAATCATGACTTTTAGGGTAAAAATCAGTATCCCATAGTTCAACATTACATGTTTCTTTAATGTTAAAATGATATCAAATATTTGGAGAACCTGCAGGTTGATACCAGTGAACATATACTAGAAAATGTTCAGTCAGTTCATATGGTAAATCGACCGTATGAGTAAAATAATATTGAACTTGACCTGAATAATAATTAATAACATCATCATTCATAATAAATTTGGCCAAAATGTATGAACTTTTCTCATATCATAAAGACATTATTGAACCGAAGATTTCAGAACTGATTTGACATCTTTCAAACTGATTCATTTTAAACTAAATTATTATAGCATTTTCTGAATCATCGCTGAATAGTTTTCAAAATTCAAGATTTTCATAAGTTGCTAAATAGTATTTAACAATTAAATCCAGCATTTCATTTGAAATGATTATATTATCAGATGATGATTTAAGAAATTTTCCTGGAAAAATTTCACTACCAAAAATACGCGATTCTTTAATATTTTGGGAATTCATCCAAAATCAGTATATTTCATCTGATAAAAATTGGTCAGTAACTGAAAGAGAGCCAATAGAAGGCTGATTGTCTAAAAATTCAAGCCCTTTCATCTCAACACTAGAATTTATGATATTATCAATTTGACTATCAAACATCAATCGACGCATAAGTTCAGGTTCAATCTTTCTATTGCTATTCTGTAAAGAGCCTAAGAATTATAAATTTAAAAATTAATAAATATATTCAATCAGAAAATTTTCATAATGATGAATTACCTAATATTCCATTCATACGTTCAAAAGAAAAATACTAGAACGCATACAATGGCCCATAATCAAATGAGCAATCGTATAAATGAAGAGATAAATGAATATTCAGCATAATTTTATTACGACCATGATTAACTTCTATCAGCTTTGCTATTTCAATTAATCTTTGATGAGCTTCTAAAACAAGATCTGATTCTATAATTCAGCTAACTAAAATTAAGCAAATTCTCACAAAATGTGTAAGAATCTTTTTATTTATAGCTGAAAGATGTTCCCAAAGCGATACAGTGGTATAAACAGTAAAAAATATTCACTATTGATCGGCTGTAAAATTAGAAAATCCTTCTCCTTCATAAATTTTACCCAGAATTCGATCCAATCTGAAACTCATTCATTTATTTCTGAAATTTTTTAGGGCATTTGATATTAAAATTCCCCCATTAATCCAAATTCATTTTACTATTCATCGTGCAATTCCTAAAAATAAGCATTGCATTGGGTCGATTGTGATAAATCTAATAAGGTCAAAATATAGTAATTACAATAATTCAGATCATCTTACACCAGTTTGTTTTACAAATCGCTTTTGTGAAGCATTAGAATTGCAATATTTCCATTCTAAAACATTCTGACGATATTCAGTTGGATTTCACATGAAGAACCAATCATCAAAATCATCCATACCGGCAAAATTATGCTGCCGATTTTCATAATTTGCTTTCTTCTCACACCTATGACATGATACTAAGGCTGAAACATGACCACATATTTTTCTAGCGGCTAGTATATCACATGAAACAAGAATTAGAGCTGCACGAATGGTCCTTCCTTCTTGAAATTCGTATGTTTTATCTATAGTTATTCCATTCCAAAAATATTTCAATTCATCAACGATCGGTGCTAAATAATGATTTATTTTGTGTAAACTTACTTTACTTGGTCCAGGTAAGAGGCCAAGAGTCAGTAGGTTTTTACGTTTGAATCAGATATTACGTGACAAATTGCATATAGCAGCATAAATAACACCAATACTATATACAGTACCTTTATAAGGTTGGAACTAATCCAAGTTCAACATTAATCCAAGGTAAGAATCAGCCACTTCATCTTTAAAAAAAATTTGTGAATTTTCTTCAGAAGATTCTTTCAATGTCTGCTATACTTGACCATCATATATATCAGTTCTAATATTATCATAATGCTGACGATTTGCTTATTGTCTCAAACAACTTTCAAAACAAGGTCAACGATACATCAAAGCAAGTTGTTATCTGATTTCAGAAAATGGAAATATTAAATTAGGTTGAATTACTACTCAATTTGCCGAAATACCGATGGTTCGAGATATAGCTATATTGCAAAGTCAAGATTTACAGAGTGACAAATTAGGAAATTCTACATGTCAGCACTTCATTATAGCAAGTGATTCTTCTTGTCTAAAATTTATCACTTCCTGTTTTTTATACAGCTTATGATATTTCAGACAAGAAACGAAGCTATGAAAATGATCTTTTAATCTGAGTTTTTTCCTTGTTAAATACATCGAATCTGGAAAGTCTCTAAAATCATCTCCACCGATTTCTGTCAAGACTAATTTCATATATTTTATCAAAGCCTCAGTTGCTATCTCCGTTATGTTTAATCTTGTCTGAATGTCATAATCCAGAGCAAAATCCATAAAATTCAGTTATTAATTGTTGATTCTAGGTCTGATGGGTCCTGAAATGGCTCATAACAGGTAATGCATAATTCTCAAATGTTTCATAATCTTCATCATCACCTGATTCCTTATCATCTGATTCATTTTTATTACTACTACTACCTAAAATATTGTCTTCTTTGGTGGTATATTCAGAAGATTCGAAAGGCTCATTAACACTTTGTTCAGAATTGTTATTAAGTGGATTTATGTTGGATTTTGATCGATTTTTGTACCTATTTACACGTTTTTGAGATACAAATGTAGAATCAGAATCCTCCTGATATTCATTATCTTCTGATTTATGTTCAATAATTCGTCTAGCTGAAGCTGATGTTGTTGAAGATTCTCCAATTTCTTCCTGAATTTTGAGTTGATAAAATGCATCTGAAATTGAGCTTTGTGAATATCAATATTTTGTTATTACATTACACGATAATGATGTTCTAGAAGTAGAAGATATTTCTTCATTAATTAAATTAGTAATCAATCTGTTTCTTCTATAAGAAGCCACAGTAAAAAATTGACTTGAGTCATTTTCTTCATCATCAAGTATGCTAGCGATTGATTTTTTCTGCTCATTTTGATAATACATTTGAAAGAGAAAAAAAAGAGAAAAAAGTTCAAAATAAAGCAATTTATAAGAATAATCTTCATATTTGTATTGTTGTATATTCATAATATTATTTTACAGTAAAAGGACGATTTACGTATTGTTTGTTGCATGTATTATCTATCAAATAATACTTTATTTAAAGTTTACGATTCAATTATATTAAAAGTTCATTTAAGCTTATTTATTTCTGATTTATAAACGAATTACAAATTCGGTAAGAAATTAAAATTTTATCACATTAGATAAAAATTTTGCTTAAAGATGTTTTTTTGGTAAAAAAAAAATAAAATAAAGAAATAAAAGAAATATTATTAAATTCAACTACAACTAGCTAAAATTTCAACTAAAAACTG